AAATCCTGGAGGGAGAATATTCTTTTAACACTTTGCATCAGGAAATGCTGCCTTGGTGTTGAGTCACAGCATGACAAAACCTCATCCACAGTTTAATTAATGTGCTGTGGGTGGGGTAAATGTTCTGATATCAATAAATTAAAATTTATACAAAGGCTGTGGGGGTTTTAATACTTTTGATTCAGCTTCTCCTCATCTACAGCACAAAATCCTGAAGCACCTCAGTGCTGATTAGCTCTCATTCCACCTCAAGTGGTCCAGGCAGGAAAGCTAGATTATTTTTTAACTTAAGTCTATGAATTTAGATTATTAATACAGAAGTCTTTTCAAATCAGTAATTGGAGACTCTCAAACCCATGCTCCGTAGTGACACAGATGATACAATAAACAAGCTTTGATTTGACTGGATAACAGAAATGTAACATGGTAATAAAAAAGAAATTATTTTTTTACAAAATCAAATACTGTAATGAAGCAGCATGTAGGGAATAATTGATTAATGGAGAGAAATCAAGCTTTGGAAGAGGTTTTCTCAAGACATGAGCAATCCCTGCCCTTGGAGGTTTTTAAGATGCAGCCAAACACCAAGACAACAGTTCCAAGTTGAGTGCTGAACCTTCCTTGACCACGAAGTTTCACCAGAGACATTCCAAGGTCCCTCCCAACCTTTGCATTTTTATAACTCCAAGTCCCTGCCAGGGTTTCAGACCAGGAATATCAGCACAGGACAGGGATGTGTTGATGTACCCAAAAATTAACCAAGAGCAGGAAAGAAAACTTGAATTGCTTTTCTGTAACTTTGAGTCCAGCAGGCTTCAAAAGGAATGGGGCAGAGAGACCTGAGCTCAGTGGAAGGCTTTGTTTGCAAAAATTCTCATGAAAATAAAAAATAAAAAGGAAAATATTAGGGTTACTGCCTTCAGCAAGTAATTTAGGAAAAATACATTGGCAGCTACTGGTGTTGCTCTTTCAACGTTTAAAGCACGAGGACATTTAGTTAAATTAATAAATGGACAATCAAGATCCATAAAAAAGCAGGTTCCCTTCTACCTGAAGAGTTCATTAATGAAACAGGAAGATCAAAAAATTAGGAAGACTCAGCAGCTCTGTGTACAATATAGAAAAGCTCAGAATTGTCATAACCAGAAATCAAAAGTATTTTGGAAAAATCAGATACTGAACCAAACCTAATGATCAGAAACTGGAATGATAATTAAATGTTAAAAAAATAACTTTCTTCAGTCTTCTAGATAGATCTTACCTCATCTTTGGAAGCATTTGATCTCAGCTACTGAAAACTCTTCTCCATGAGATGGAAGATCAGATATTATCAAGCAAGTTTCAAAATACACATCAAATTATAATAACTGCATTGGTGTATTTTTCTCCTTCTGATTTTGAGTTTCTCATTGAAAGATCCCACATTTTGCATATTTGCAACATTTAAAATGTGAAAGCTGGCACACAAATACCTTCAGATTTAAGACTGGATAATTCAGGGCAAGAAGAGCTTGAATAATTAAGGACAAGGACCTCTGAAAGGGCACAAAGCTATTTCACCTGAAAGCTGCCAGAATCACCCGGATTTATTCTGCTATTTCACATCTGTTGGAAGGGGAAATGGAAATGCTTTGTGAGAAAATGATGAATTTCAAGAACAGTAATGGAAAAGTTTGGAACATCCTGTTAACAGTGTAATAAGCACTTCCTCTGGAGTTAAACTTTACGTTAGTCTTAATATATTTAATATCCTGAAATGTTAAATATTCATGATCTGTGGTAGTGCTGGTTGGAGAATGATGGGATTATTTTATAACAGCTTTTAAGGCTCAGATTCTTTTTCCACCATGCATTAGAATGCAGAGTAAAAAAGAGGAAAAGGGTGAACCAACCTCCTGAATATTTCACCAAGCACAAGTGTGTGGGGAGGACACACCTTCTCCATCTCACCTCTGTCTTCCCTGCCTCTTTCTCTCCACTATCCTATCCCACAGACACCTCCCTTTGAAAAAGTTTCAAAGGTGATAAAACTTTAAGAAGTTTTTGCTTTGAATAAAGGTATTTTGTCATTGAAATTATTCAATCCAATTAAAGTATGTCATAAATTTACCAGACTGTTATACTATTATAATAAAAACCCCAGAAGTCAATTTTCAACGTTTCCTGGAAATGAGCATATAATAAATTCAGTTTAGTGGGAAGGCTTATGGATGAGCTTAAATATGAATTTCAGAAATGGCATTAGATTTGAAATGGAAACTTCAGCTGAGAAATCTGCTACATCATTTATATTTCAGATCATTTAATCCATTTATAGCATCCCTAACACCTGAGTGCTGCCCTTGTTTTTAAGCTGGGAAGTTTGCTGTGCTGGGAAGGCAATGCCATGGCCCAGATTTTCAGAGATTAGGCTGGGAAAAGTGGCAAGTGGAAGAATACTGAAAAAACAGTGCATTAAAAAATTAAAAACAGTAAATGTATGCCCAGGGGAAAAAACTGCACTTCAGAAACAGAGCTGGAAAAAGGAATTATCAGTATTGGCTAGGACAGATCCTTCCTGAGAGCCATGGACCTCTGCAAAGGCAGGTTCAGGGGTACCACAGAGTGTCCTGAGAAGTGTGGGAATTCACCAGTTCTGAGGAATTCCTCAGCATTCTGGAAACAGAACAGCTGCTCGTGGCAAACTGATTTACATGGTGCAAGTATACCATGAGTCTACCTCTTACACAACCCTGGTCTAAATGTGTTCAGCTTGAGACCTATAAAGCTGAATACTGGGTATGAATTCCCTTCTCTGTGCACTTTTGTTGCAAGACTAGAAGTTATTTGTACTTGTTGAAAAGTTTATTATCCCATTTCTCGTGCTCAAGACAGGCTGTTCTTTCCCAGGCTGACCTCATCAGAGAGGTGTTTATCAAAATCACACTGAAATAAAATCAATTTATCCCACCTACCTAAAGCTGAGGGTTTAGCTAAGCCATCAGAAAAAGGAAAAAAAAGGGTCAGACAGGTTATCCACTTTCAAAGCACAAGATCTGGTTCTGGGGAAATGGCATAAATTCAAAGAATGGAAGAACAGTAAAATCCTGGATGTAAACTCCAGAAATGTAAAATAAATCCTTTCCAAAGTCACTTCAGCCCCTTCTGAGCCCAGCCTTGCTCCCCCTGCTCTGTCTGTGAGTGCACCAGGCCCAGCCTGGCGTGCGTGCACACACATGCAGCCACAGAGCTTTTCCCTGCACCCCTGGGGCAGATTAAACCATGCTAGAATACATTTCCATCCTCAGACATTCCTTCTGATGGAGAGAAAAACCCAGTTTTGCTCAGTTTCATTTCTTCTCCTCCAGCTGCAACCCCTCAGAAAACTCCAAAGTGCTCGTGCACCTCCCCGAGCCCACATCAAAGGCATGAGGACATTTTTCTTGTCATTCCCTTGCATCACTTTGGCTTCTCCAGATTCCTCTCTTTAGGATTTTTCCCCTCCCTCTAAACTATTCATTCTCATCATGATGCCTCAAGTTTAGCTTTTCTATTTTTCACATTCTGTGCTGCTTTAGTGTGTGGGTCTGAGCTTCATACCAGGGGATGGTGAGCTCTGCACAGAGCAGGGAGACAAAACAATTCCTGCTCCAGCTGGGCACCAAGGACAAATGATCCCCATCCCAGCCCAAGAGCACAAACCCCGTGGGCTGGAGAGAGAAAAACAAGCAGGATGGGAGTGCAGGGGCTGAGCTGGAATTGGACACTGAACTGCAATGTGCACATGGAGCAGAGCTGATCCCAGGGAGAGACCCCGTGAGCGCTCGTGCATTTTGGGACCATTTGGGTTCATCTTGGGTGCAGCTCTGGCTGGGCTCTGGTGCTGCCCAAGGTGGATCCATGGAGGAGATCCTTTGAATCAATCCCTGCTTCATTCTTTAGCTCTGTCTGGTCTCTAGGGCAGCCCTCTCAAGGCATCAATCCCCACCCCTGACAGTTTCTCAGCAGTGATTTCCCTGCAGTGCTGAAGGTGGGGCTGCAGCAATCTCTGCATGTGTGTGTGTGTGTGGAAATTCTTGCATGAGAAATGCAGCAGCAGGTTGAGTGGCACTGTTGGCAAACACACCCAGAATCAGCAACTGGGAGCAGCCAAAATGTTCATAGTACCAAGGATGTATGCAGTTGACACAGCTGAAAAATTCCACTCTGGCATTTTCTGAATTTCAAAAATCCATTACATTTGAAATATTTGATTTATAATGGAGGTCACTAAAACATAAAAAAAAAAAAACAAACAAAAAAAAAAAAAAAAAAACAAAAAAAAAACCCAACCACAACCCAAACTATGTAAGAAACAATTGAAAATAAAATGTTCAATGCATCAATTTTGTTCCTGGTTTCCTTTATTTCCAACATGAGAAACCAGCGCTTTTTTTAGATCCTCCCTCCAGATCTGGGGCTCTTTTCCTCTCTCAGTATAGTTGATTATTCATAAATTCTACTCAGAGCTGTGGATTATACCACTCCGGGGACAGCTTCTCCCTCACTCCATGGCTCCCTCTTCCTGCTCCCAGGATTGAGTAGAATTCACTCAAAAAGTGCTAAATATTTTTATTTTTCCCCATAATATGACCATCTTGGTCCCTCTCTGAGTGCTTTCATTATTTCTGCTCCTCATGTTCAATTTGTATTTTTAAATTTTCTTTTTATGTGCATCAAGACTCTCAGTGACTCTCTTGTGGGTTTGAGAGTTTTGACTCCTGACAGTCTGGGGCAAAATCCAAATTTTGCAGAATTTGTGCACAGAAATCAACACAACCTGGTTTCTTTCCAGTAAAGCTCATTGCTAAATTAACAAAAATAAAACCACCCAGCCTCACCTAAGAGAATTAGGGGAAAAGGAAATTACGAAACCAAAAGGAACAAAAGCCTCAAACAACTCTTAATTGAAATTAATTACAGTTCCTCACACAGAATGTAAAATTCTCCTGTTCTGGTGGAAATAAATATTTCAGGCTCACCTTTCCAGTGGATTTGGTCCCTTTCCAGATGCAGAAATAGCAGATAGTCCAAGCAGCCAGGAGGCACAGGGCGAGCTCCCAGCGCAGGTTCCCAATGTGCTCAATCCCATCGGAAATTGCCAGCACCCTTCGTCTTCCATGGAGAAAAAGAAGGGGAAAAAATTACAATATTGAGCTAAAACAGCACTACATGGGAAATACTGGGGTAAAACCGACTTAATTACAAAAAAAATTATAATACTGAGCTAAAACAGTGTCACGTGTTAAATACTGGCATAAAACTAAATTAATTATAAAATAATTACAATTAATTACAAAAAAGTGTGATAATATTGAAGAAAATGGCATTACATACGAAAAACCAGGATAAAATTCAATTAATTACAAAAAAAATATAATATTGAGGTAAAACAGCACTACATGGGAAATACTGAGATAAAACTGACTTAATTACAAAAAAAATATAATATTGAGGTAAAACAGCACTACATGGGAAATACTGAGATAAAACTGACTTAATTACAAAAAAAAGAGATTATAATATTGAATAAAATGGCATTGCATACAAAAAAACCAGGATAAAACTGAATTAATTATAAAAAAAATACAATATTGAAGAAAACCAGCACTACATGTGAAATACGGGCATGAAACTGCATTAATTTCAAAAAAAAAAAAAAAGATAATATTGAAGAAAAGCAGCATTACTTGTGAAACAATGGGTTAAAACTGAATTAATTGGATTCAAGGACTCCTCTTTACTCACTACTGAAAATACCCTGTGCTACAGTTGAAAGGAAGAGAAAAGATAAAAGCAGAATATTCCCAGTATTTTGTGTCTGGGTATGAATGAACAAATGTTTCACTTTTTCAGGTAAGTGACAAAATTTTAATTTTAGAACAACAATTTTCTTTTCCCTAACGTGAAGAAAAAGAAATTATTTGAATTAGTTACCCACACATAGGAGCCAAAAATAAAATCCTTCCTCAATAAATGGGTTTTTTTCAATTTGATATGTTTTCCTGAAAAAAAATCTAACCTTTATTTTTACCTGTTAAATTTCATTAATTTCCTTTTGTAATTGGAACTATAACATTAAAATATTTCTTCTCAAAACCTCAAAATTTTGAAGCAACTTAAAGCAATGAATGCACACATAAAGATATTCACATTAAAGTTTTTAACACTCAACCTGAAATAAACCATCCTGAGAAGAGATTTCTTTAAAATCTGTATTTCAAGTTAATAAATAAATAAATACCGAAATTATAAATTAATAAAGTTAAAGTTATAAGCTAATAAATATAAATTACAAATTATTACAACCTGACTTGCACTCCACTCCCTCCACAATGTGAGTGAAAACAAATTAATTGATTTTCACTGCTTTCAACTGATGATATAATTAATGTCTACATAGGCATACACATTTAATTACAATTTAGTAGAAAGGTTAAGCATTAAATTCAAACCAAGCAAACCACAGTTAAATATATAAAATAATTCTTCCTTTTGTATTGGGTTCAGTTATTGTCTGAGTCAATAAATTTAGGGATATGAAGTAGAACAGTTAAATGATATAGAATATTTATATGAAAAATAGAATATTTATATGAGATATAAACATTTAAATGAAATAAAATTAAATTTTAAAATGGAAAAAAGGAGGAATCTGCTCTGTCTCTGCTGTCACCCTCAGCAGGTGAGCATGAAGGGAAATTCCTGGAGTGCTGGAGTGGGAGGCTGGAGATGCCACAAGGGAAAATGGAAATATTGAAGCAGCACCTGGGCACGTTCCATAACTCCAGAGCTGCAGCTGCTGCTCCTGATGGAGGCAGCCACTCCTAAAATGTGGGGTTAAAATTTCCTCTTTAGCTGGGGAATGACAGAATTAACAGGGTAAACAAAAATCACAATTAAACCCCAAAATCACAGCATTTATCTCCACATTTCCCAATTAATAAAGACAGATCTTCCCAGTCAAAAATAAAGGGGCAGGAAGTCAACACAAACTTTTTACATATTATCTACTTAAATGTAAAATTGCTGCCACCTCATCCACATCTCCTCCCCTTCCAGGAACTGGTTTTATTCTTCAAATCTTTATTCTTTAAATATTTATTCTTCAAACATTTATTCTTTAAATCTTTATTCTTCAAATATTTAATCTTCAAATCTTTATTTTTCAACTCTACACCATCTAATCTGGGAGAGAAGTGATCCAGCTCAGAGCACCCTCAGTTAGCCAAGACCTGCAAAGTGCCTGAAGTTCTGTCATCAAAATGCACCCAAATGAAGAGAGGTGGCTTTTAATGAAGGGTTATTTTAATCAAGAAGAGGAAGGACATAATTGATATCTGCACACAACATCACTGAGACATAATTACACAGAGAGGTGATGAAATACATCGTTAAAATTCAAGCTCTTCTAAGCTGTTTGACAGATGAACATGGAATTTTACCTAGGATGAGGTCCACCCTCCTTACAAACTCATCTACACCCAAATGAAATCCTTGCATTCTTAGATCACTTTGAAGAGGAATTAATTGCAAGAGAATCAGGACAAAAATTGGCATAATATGATAAGAAAAGGAATAAATAATAAATACTAAAAGGCCTTTTAAAACAGTACATTTTAAAGATGAAATCTGAGACAAAATATTTATGGTTGGGCCACAATAATAGTGAAATGGAAACCTTTTTCATTCAGCTATATTTTCACTGTGAGCTAATATGAAAAAAAAATCCTTGTGTTTTAATCAACCCAGGTTTTTATGGCCATTTGGATTTATTTTTGCAAGTGTGAACCTGAACATGAGTAAGGTTCCTTTTCCACAGTGGATGTGCAAGTCACTTCAATGCCTACACTCTTCTTTCCTACCTACAAAACAACTTCATAAATAAGTGTTCTCTCTCTCTCATGATTGAAATATTTCACCCACCAAAAGATGCCTTTGCCTTAAGAACATCATTTTTAAGGAAGGCTTGAGGTGAAGATTTTTAAAAGCAACCGATTCCTGGGAGCAGAAAGAGCTCACGGTTTTCTGGATGCTCTGAAGTCCCAGAGAACAGAGACACCTCCTTCACCCACGCTGGACTCTTGGCCTGGTACTTTTGTAAAGTGTCACAATGGCAAATTAATGGGCTCGCCACAATTAATTATCCCTGCGGGTCCTATTGAAAACAGACACGTGGTGCCAATCAAGGGGAACTATCAGCACCATAATGAGGTTGTAATTACCCTGAAATGCTGTCAATCGCTTTGGATTTCCTTTGTTCCAGCAGAACAAAGGGTTGGTGTTTCCCTCAGAAAGGGAGCAGCAACAAGTCCAGAAGTGATAATTAATCTACAACATAAAATGTGTGCAAAGAATGGATCCAAGGAGGGGAAAGTCCTGCACAGAGGCCAGCAGGGAAATCCCTCACAGCTCTCCCTAAAGCCAGACCTAAATTCTGCTGCTGGAACCATCTGAGCAGCAGCAGTGGATGAAGTTTTGATAGGAGGGAGCAATCAGAATATTAAATTCTTCTCACAAAGCCTCAGTTCACACATATCTACGCCTATTCTTTTATTATTCGACTGAAATAGTAGAAAAAGGGGAAGCATTTGAAAATATATTATTTCCCCCTGAGTCTGAGACATGAGGTTGATATTCAGGGGTCAGATCAGAGCTCTGCTCCTCAGCAGTGCAGTTTCTACATAAAACCTGCCATAAATCACTGAAAACAACGACAAAAAAGTTCTGTAACTTCTTCCAGTCCTTCCTCCTCTTCTGTTACCTGCAAGAGACCTGCACTGCCTTGTTCTCATCAACTCTTCCTGCACAGAACACAGAAACAAGCAGTAAAATCAGCCCTCAGTGTGCTCCCCTCTGATTTGAAAGAGCAAACATTTGAAAAGTTCTGTAGTGAATCTATAGCTCAGCTGCTTTCAATCATACTTGGGTGAAAAGAAAGAAATAATTTTAGCCTAATTTTTTTTTTTTTAATTTAAGACTTGTTAAAGCTGAGCATCTTTAAGACCCTCTTTAATCAAATGAGAAATAACAGATATTTCATTGCAATGTCTTGACTCTTTCTCACTAGAATTCACTGCTGCCACTTCTTGATTTGAAGAAATGATTATCAACAACATTTCTTGACAGATAAAAGCCCAAGAACCTGGGAGACCACAGCAGTACAAGTGCAGGTAACCATTTCAGTTACTCCAGAACATCAAATCCCTGCTTGGTACTAGCCAGTTTAAGCAGAATTTGCTGGCAACAACTTCAGGCTGTGTGAAACTTTGCTGTGAGAAAGATTTGTCCTGCACTGAAGATAAAAATCATTAATTAGCTGTTGGATCTCATTGAAAACAGAAACTGATGAAAGTTTGAAAGTATTTATTGTAGGTATTGAGCTTGTTTTTCTGTTGTAGCAGTTTGAGGGGGGTGTTGTTTTGTTGTGTAAAAATCCTCAGCACTTCAGCCCCTTGAACCCACCCAGAGCCTGGGAGAGAAGCCAGGGACTGGTGGCACTTGAGCTTGGGCAGCATACTGAGGGAAACACATTCCACTGCCATGAGGGACTTGGGAATGAAAGGTTAACTCAAACCAGGGCAAGGTTTTAGTTCAGTAGTAGCAAAGTATTAATTCTCCACAGCATATCTGCCTTGTGAGTAGAATATTAAATCCCAGCCAGAGTGGATTTGGGGTGTCTCACGCTCTGCTTGAAGGTTTCTTTGCCTCTGATCACACACATTTAGATTGGCTAAATGTTAGTGAAGATTCTTACATTTCTTCCTGTAATTAACACAGAATAAGAGTGGCAAAAGTTCCAGGAATCTAATGAATAAAAGATAAATTTGGGGGGGAATAATAGGGCACATCTCCAAAGGGGGGTCTGTCAGAAATGCTGAGGTCTGGTCACAAGGGTCTGTGCAGTTGGGCTGAACAAAATCATGACAAAATTACTACAGTACAGACTAATTCTACTTAGAGTAACAAATATTGTAAGCCTGGCTTAAATCTCACTTGAATCTAAATACAAATGTGGATTAAAAAGGAAATAAAAAAGGATAGTCAGGAACTATCTAAATAGTTAGAATTATAGAACTAGTAGAACTACGTAAAGAAATATTTCAGCATATTTT